CCAAGCGAAGTCAACTTTAAGGTGAGAACTTTCATCCCTCTTGACCAAGTCATCATTTGGCCTCTCCTTCCATCCACATCCCGGTCGTACAAACAACGCGAGTCCCCGGAGTCATTGTGCCGGCATGCGTAATGTATGACTGTTGCTGAGGTGTAAATTCGCTGTTCTTGTGCATAAACAAGACAGCGAACACAGCCATTGCTCACATGTTGTTCCCGCTACACGTGAAGTAAGTCGCAAACGCATCGGTGGTCGAACGTAACGTGCCGTTTTACCTGCGACAACTTGGTGAGACAGGTATCACAACCAAATAGAAGTGTTAAACGGACGGCAGCATTGTAGGCGCAGACTATGTCCTTCAGGTGAAGAGTGATGTCGCGCCGCCACCATTAGCGATAAAGATGGAGAAAAACGCGCGTTTTGGCTATACGGCTTGTTGCCTCATCTTATATTCCACAGACGCTGATACAGGCGGGTTACTGAAAAAGTTGGATGAAAGGTTTGTGTTTAGAGGGTATAAAGCACAGTTCAAAAGGAGCTGAGAAGCAGTGTCAACTTGTCCATCGCTGTTTGGAACGTTTGAGAACTGTCACAGAGTATGGAAATATCGTCGGCATTCTCTAAGTCAAGGATCAGCTGTACATCTTCTAAGTTGTGCCCAGTGAACGCAGTTGCAATGGCTTCCTCAATGGTGAAATGAGATTGGGCGTCCCTGCCTCAGACCGCTGGAGATAATGAAGGGCGATGACAGTCCACCATAAGCCCTCGCTCTGCCTGAACGACATTTCTAAAGCGCTCTGATAATGTTTACGTAGTTATCGTGCATATCTTTCCGTACCAATTTAGGGGTGTCTGATAATGTTCGGAAAAGTGCCGCCTGTTGACCGATTTGTACCAAATTGAGCACGTTGAAGCATGCTAGTCTTAGCGAGAATCGAGGACCCCAAATGGAACCAGATGCAGTGCTGTTGTTCCTACGGTTGGAAATGGACAGGGCAGAATTGACGATGTGCCAGTGTGTGTGACTCGAAAGTAGAAGGCAAACGCCTCTTAAAGCAAGGTGGGGAGGGTCAAAGAACGGGGGGGTTGAAAACAGGCAGGATAATAGTGAAGTCGGAACGGGACGGTAAAGATGAAAAAGCGCAAGAGCGGAAATAGGAAGACAGGAAGGCTTGAGCAGTGGTATTCTCACCAACATCCACTCTCTTCGATGCAACAGAAACGGTGCCGATCTTCTGCGACGGCTAGACCATCAAAAATTGTATGAAGAGAATCTCATTATATTGCGCGGGTGGGAAACTGTCAGGTTGCACAGGCCTTTGTAGAAGAACGAATAGAGTTTTCAACTAAAGCCTTTGGTTCGAAAACCTGACAGCAAAGTAGCGGGAGTTTGGTAGTGAGCCACAGAGAATCCGTTTTAACGTATAAGAAGCCAACCTCACTCTAACTCCAAACCGGAGGACCGGAAGATGGAGTGTGTCAGGTCTCTAACTGACCAATGTGGTATGGGGGATTCTGAAGGTGCTGGAAACACCACAAAGCGCACCTCAGTGGATCACCGGGGTACGCAAACCATCGCACCACGATGAGGTGCATGTTCAATCGGATGTAGCAGTAACAGAGAACTCTCAACAGTGTGCCATAAACATCGAGACAACTGATTACGTCGTACATGTGAGCCGGTGCGAGCCGGAATCAATAGAAGCTGAAGGTTACGTGGAGAGGATCAACGCAATCCGAATGTGCAGCCCGCAGGGAATTCGAACAAGACAATAGCCGAATAATGCCGGCTAGCTTGGACAGTTAGGTGAACCAATTGCTAAATTTTAGAACAAGCCTGTGGTAGCAATTCACGGGACATTCGGCGGAATCATGATAGACAGCTGAATACATTTTACTAATCTTAATCGTACAAGGATTAAACCTAACCGACAACGCGAATGGATCACAGAGTTAAACTGAATGCTTTATCTAGTACAGCAATAGCATCAAAAGTGGTGAAAGCATCAAACACCAATGCCAAGGCGCCTTTGTAGATTTGGTGACGGAGACCGTCTGTAGGGGCCAACCGTGACCTCTGCACGGTAGTAACGACTGTGGTGTAGAGGATGGGACGTGTCATATCAGGACAGTCATACGAGTCACTGCCGTAAGCCATCGTCCAAGGGTGCAAATCACGGAGGTGCTTAGGTTGGATCCATTGAAACTCACATCACTGAGGAGCCCTAACAGAACAAAACGAATGCACACGCTTCTCTGGATATGTGGTAGCCGGGTAAGCAAATCTAGCAACGAAGGAAATGCGTAAAACCATATCACAGGTCCCTGAGTCGAGGATACCTGGGATGCGTAATAATGATTGGTGTTCAGATGGACACACACACGCGTCCCTCGATTGAGCTCGTTTACAAACAGTGAAATGATCAGCGCGTGTCCAACAAAGCTGACCAAGTAAATCGCATCGATCCGTTCGATTCAACATTCACACCATCCGCAGATGCGCTTGGCATGTTATGCAACGTGACAAATCCAGTCTGGAGGAAGGGTGTCGAAGGTCTGCCGTGGTAGAAGCTAAGATAGCATGCGTCATGCACTCGGCTGTATACCAAGCCGATTGGAAGCATTTTGTCAGATATTTGACATGGTGGCGTAAAATGCGGTGGAAACGTGCTGACTTATCCGACTGCTACCGTCACTTTGATTGTCATGTTCAGAAGGCTGGGGTGTAAGCGAAACGTGCAATCTACGAGACAGCGTTAGGCGCTAATAATGATTACATTACAGGAGATGGTGCGCGGCTAGGATCGCCATCTCGTGCATGTCTGGGGTGGGCATACACCCCAAAACACTAGATGACGGTGCGTATGTGATGCTCGTTGCACCCGCATTATATCTGGGCGCTGTTAAAATATCCTGGGTTGCAGTCGCAGAGATGCATCCAACCACACGTAATTTGCGCATTAATGCGCAGTCTGAGTCGGCACCGTGGCAGCAGCCGCGGTTCCGAAACGCACGCTCCTGGTCTAATTGCTTCGCGTGTGTGCACCGAACATGTGGCGAGTGCGTGAGCGGTGACAACGATGCCGCACGATGACATTAGAAACTGCAGCACACAGGGTGACTATGTAAAGACTGGCCGGTCTGTGGATGGGCATTAACACTGACGCGCAAACGAAAACAGACAAGGCCACGGACAGGGGTTAGTGGGTCAGACAGATGATGCGAACAAAAACTACAGAAGAGTGGACAGTTTTGATCAAACAACGCCGCCACATGATTAATTTGAAAGGAAACAAACTCTAAGGGTAGTTGCGGAGACGAAGTCACATTCGATAGAATTTTCAACGCGGCTGATTGATCAGGTGTGATGGTAAGCGAAAACGGGTGGATAAAACAGTGACAACGGACTCCTCCTGTATTCATGTGGGAGACAAATGTAATGGCACCTTGAGAGTAGCAAGACAGTGTCAGGAGTTGATGAACTACTGACCATCAATGTACGCTTTATCCAACGTTAAAGAGATCAAGTCCAAAGGGAGGTATAAAAGTGGGAAAATAATGAAATGGCCACAGACCAAATCCTCGATAGCCAAACAACTGCGCCCACGATGAGTCGAACCAATAATTAGGCGTGAAACATGTCCGAAAGAGGATAGCAGTGTTAGCAATGAACTGCATCCCGTAACAACATACCCTAGCAATTAGCTGGGATAGTGCCGAAATCAAAGGTGGTAGAAAAATATGACCCGACTGCAGTACATATAGTGTTTAGCATGCTGGGAGTTCCGAGCACATGGCAGTGGGGGAATAAAATGCGAATCGCTTGAACATGAAGTCAAACTACGAGGTGGTACAGCAAAGCATTGAGTAAGAACATATGAACTATGAAACCGTTCTCCCCTTGGGATTCTAGATGCGCGAGCTAACATTGGTAGATACAGGGGAGCAAGAAACGGTTTACAACTTCTTTCATGGTCCAACAGTTACACTCAATGTTCGATCAACAGCCTGATGCTCAATAGTATCTCGTGAGGAGTGAGACATTGAAACGTTGTGTACCACAGCCTCATCATCGATGGTTCAGGTCATCACGGTATGCGGGCTGATTAATTTAATCGGATATTTCTTCGGAAATCATTTAGAACAGATGGTCAAGATGTCTGCTTAGGATGACAGTATCGTATGCAGATTTGGTGCCGGACAAGTGTGCCCCACTTCTGTTGCGAACTGGGAAGAAGCAATACTCAAACGAGACAGATAATACAGAAAGTAAATGTGTCCAGTGGTTAGTCTAGTGTCTAGTGGTTAAGATGACCATTAGCCCATCCAGCAGAAGTTATGACAAAACGATCAGACTGCAATCGGATGCAGAGAGCAGGGTGAGCCAAGTGGACGGAAACTGTATTCAGTCAGTGAGGTAACTACATTAATTAATTAATTGTGTCAGCTGCACGACGTAACGGCGCTTTGCTGTCGCGCGACTACCACCAGTCGCGCGCGGGCTGAGTATACCGCGAGGACGCCCACCCCTACGCGGATTCGAACTGGGGACCTTATGGTTGGAAACCAGGCGCGCAGACCACTCGGCTACCGGTAACCATATTAATCAGCGACCCCAGTGGAAGGAAATAAAACTATGTTACATTAACCGTTGATAGACCGGCTCCGTCTCGGACGGGATTAACTAGTATAAGAAAAAAAAGAAAATTGATAGTTTCTCAGCCGATAAGCACTTTCGTGATACTTTTCGTGAACATATTTGAAAGGTCGGATATATGGATAAATGGCATCCACGAGAAAAAGCGCATAAAAGTGATTCTAATGAAGCGAACGGCGGTTTGAACAAATGATCAAAGGCTAGTAGAACAGGAAAGTCAGTGACGAGAAAAGGGAGATTTGAAGAAAGCTGAAGCAGGGAGGGGACAGCTTTCAGTGTAAAGGGTCTTGCATGGTGAACATGGTATGCCGGATACCTCAACAAGGAGAAACAAAACACTCACCGCCAAGGGAAGTAGGGGCCAAGAGACAAGTCTCCGATTCTGGATATGCGTTAGGCGGACACTGGAGGAGGTGCGCTTGCTTCTTAAGTCCGCCATTGTGGCAGGTCTATGTAGAGAGTGGAACCAGTGATGAATCACCAAGCACCTGTAAGTCTGTCCAAGGAGCACATCATTTAATAAGCAGTGCATAAGCAACTATATGCTGGTGTTGGTTAAGAAGCAACACTTAATCAACAAGCTAGGGATGTTCAGGGTAAATAATTATTTTCGGGTTGACTTCCAAGGTGTTTGCACAGTAAGGTCGTTAGCTGAAGACCGGAATATAGATGGTAAGCCAAGCGAACAAAAGGAAGAGTAATATGTCAAGCTTCATAACTGTTAACCCTACACTAATTGGTGGTCTTGATTCTTGTTAATGAAATGGGAACATTTGCTTTGTCCGTGATTTGCTCACATTAAGGATGTATCTAAACAGATCGTGGGAATTACGAACGATCCTTAATGGATAGATCGTGTAGAGTGGACAGCGCATAACGAATTCAGTTGGTAAACGTGTGGCCAGTGAGGTAAAGAATCTCCGCCAACGCCAGTTACTGTACAGACCCCTGGTGGTTCAGTAAATAGAGGGGGCCCTACAAACCCCGTGGTTCATGCGCACAAACCTACAACGGCACTAAACAGGGAAGCTACTGGTAAGGTCTTAGGACAAAGCCACTAAGTTGACCCACGGGGACGCCGGCCAAGAGTACAGGGCACATACGAAGGTGGCTGAGGATGTCCACTTGCGTGACCTGAACGGAAGGGTAGGCAGGATACAAGGTTAAGTGGTCGAATAAGGTCATAATCTGGACCTGTTGTTACGTTGGCGACAATCACGAATTAGAGCATCGCCAGTCCAAGCAAGCGTCATGGCAGTAGTACTGAACACACATGAAACTTAGGAGATGGACGATTGACGACATGCTATGAAGGCCCAGAAGTATGCTGCGAGACAATATGCCAGACAAAATCGTGTATCAAAGCATATGAATGCAAAGTGACACGATTTACCAGCAGGTCTGAATCTCCAGTTTGGGCAATGAAAAACATTCTCTGAGAAAACGAGATGCGTCCTTAGGTAAGCGGAGCGTGAAACAAGTTCCAGAGGTTGAACTGCGAGAATGAAAATATTGACACAAGCGCGGCAAAAGATGGACAGAGGATAATTTAACAGGGGATCAACAAAGTAATCCGGATCGAAATTGGCTCAATGAACGAGCATCGAAAAGCCGCTAGTCCTAAACAGTGACGTCTCCGAGGTTCGCCAATAGATGATAATAGGGACGGAAACTAACAACCGATCCTCTCGACTGTGACCGGACAACCATTTGCCGTATGATGTACACATAAACATATGAATTTAGAGCACACAAACAGCAACGCGGAGTACATCATCCCCACGGAATCAAAAACACGAAAGGTGAGCTGCAGCGCGCAGGAAGCAGCTGCGTGATCGCCAACCACGATGATGTCGCGTGCATGGTGACGCGGTCACGCAAGTTGCAGCGGAAAAGTGCGAGCGATCCGGGTAGAATTGATGCGAATGACTATCCAATGAATCAGCTGATGACGAGAGACATGGTGACGCTGCAAAGTTACGTTCCACCAAGCCGTAAGCTATGAGGGACACGCAGCGGACAGCTGCAAGTAGGCGGCTTTTGTGATGCGTAAGAGGCTCACCTTCGAATCACCAAATGTAGCAAGTCCCGAACGCCAAGCCTCCACGCTGGGCAGCTCATCAACGTCCAGAGTGATCTGAGGCGCAGAAAACGAAAGCGAATTTTCGATCAGTAAGCAGATTGTTGGTAAAAGCGTGCTTTGTCTTAGGAAGCGATATTCCAACTCATGGACTTCAGAACAAAAAAATAAAAAAAATAAAATTATCAACTGTTGGTACGGTTCCAATGAAGGCAGAAAGAGAATGGGCCGGCCAGTAAAGCAGAAACATATTTTCAATGTAAGGTTGCGCGGTATTACTCAGTGGTTGTAGTTAATTGAAGTGATGGTGATGCCTGTTCGAAGTTACACTCGAACCGGTGTACGGAGCCTCATGTTAATATGCGTGATTGGTGGGGAAGCGGAAAAGACCAAATGTGTAAGCGGGTAGAGAGGGAAACGTAGTAAGTGGGATCGGGAGTTAGTCTACATGCTGAGATTAGAAGTCGTATCTATCAACAGGCACCACAGGTTATCAAACTGTTATCAATAACCACTGTATGGGGACCACCAGCCAATACTGAGGGTGAAATATCAGTCCTTAGGTATATGGAAGTGCAGTGGGATAATGTGAAGCCCACTGGTGCCGCGATAGATCGTAACTACACTTTGAAAAGTCTACGTGATTAATCCACGTCCATCGTTTGCCTGCTGACTGCTGCGGCTGATGGAATGAGGTCCCAGGAAGGCCACGTGGTGGAATGCTGATGAAGAAAGAGCAAAATTGACCGAACCAGCTTCAGGCTAACAGGCATTGTTTTCTGAATAGGGACCTCGACTTGCCGCATTAGTTCACTGTAGCCCAATCGAGCTCGGTCTCTTGGCTTGTAGTACATCCATGAGTGCAACAAAGCCACCGATGCTCATTTCGAGCATATCACGATGGAAATTTGCTTTTTCGACGATCCTGTTTTATTCAGTAGCCTTATGTAGGGAATCATAGAAGCTGGGTATTTAGAATTCTCGTGTTTGGAGTGAAGAGATGAAACAGGTGTATCCAGTAGAGTAGACTACAATAATATCAGAGTGAACAGTAAACATTCTACGGCTGTACCGGATGTAGCATAGCCAATCAGGCACTACGACAAGCATTGGGACCAAGAACAAGTCAAGTTAGACTTGAACTATCACGGTGTGAAAGCTCGCATTTCAATGAGAGGAACAATATACTAGACAAGGCATCGGGCTGAGAGTTGAAGTGCGGTAGATGAGATTGTCATCAATCAAGGTCAAGAAAATCGAGGGAAAATACTAACGAGCATAAGAAGAAAGATAAGGAAGTGAAAATTATACGATCGTTTGGTGGGCTTTAGATGCAGGTAGTAGTAGCAGTAGTACCAGTAGAATCAACAGTATAATAAATGAACACAGAGCCGGACAAAAAAAATGAAATTCGGCGGACGACAGATGGAGTCGCAGCAGCAGCATCATTATAGCACATTAGTTGAAGATGAGCAACATCAGCTATTGTGCCACAATAAAGAAAAACAGTGACTTTCTGTTAAATGTCCACACGCCAATTCTTTATTTTTTAATAGGCGTTAAGTATCTTAATCAAACCAAGTGTGTACACCGATCTTCCACTGGGTTCGACTGCGCGCCATATCCTGAATTGCCTCCAGCCATCAGCACTCCCCGTCCTTAGGTCCCCAACAAGGCAGGCATGTGGATCCACTGTCAGCAAGAGGTGAAATCAATGATTTCATATATTGTCACCAGGTGGATGGTTGACCATCACGTGATCTCTTCCAGCCGTCCTGCACAAGCAAAAAGAGGGGGATAGAGCAAACGCTCAGCTGACATACGGAGGACGTGGCCGAGCCATCGTAACTGGAGCAGTAAAACCAGCTTGTTGAAGGGAATACTCGCATTCCCTAAGACACGGCCTCTGACTTCACTGTTTCAGATACGCGGTTGCCAACACACACGAGAAATTCTCCTGAAGAACCCATTATCGAAGGCCGAGAGCTGACGCATGTCATCTACGCGAACAGGCCGACTCACTGCTATATAGCAACCCCGCCCTGTGGCATTGTAAACACGACCCCCCGACAACGCCACAAGTGCTGCAGGTTGATAAACGCAGATCGGGCTTTGGTGGTAAGGTGCCGATAGCACCACCAGCAGCTGCCTAGGCAGATAAAGCTGTCAACATGTTCAAGCCATGTGCCTTCAAGAGTGAGCACAGGAACGGGAAAGCGTCAATTCTGGAGCAGCACTGCGACGAGGCGAAGCACATTCCTCAATCGGCAAACGGTTTAAAATGATTTGCATATTCCACGAGTCGTCATCAAGTATTGCGATGTCATCGGCATAATTTAAGTCCGTTGCTCGCTTACCTGGTAGTAGCTGTAGACCAAAATGCTGGTAACCCTCCAGAGCTCTCGACAGGATGACTTCAATCGTAAAATTGAAGTGGAACGGGGACAAAGAGCAGCCCTGCCGTACACCGCTAGTGACAGCGAAAGAGGAAGACAGCTTGTCATAGACCCTCACTCCGCTGGAGACGTGGAAATAGAGTACGCGCAAGATGGTTATGTACTTTCCTGGGACCCCGTTCATTAGCAAGCAACGCCACAGCACAGGTCGATCAACCGAATCAAATGCAGCACGGATGTCCAAGAGTGGAAAGGTGGTAGTCCTCTGGTGGAGGTGGGAGTGTTCGAGGATTTGGTGGAGTGTGAATATTTGATCCACACGCAGCGGACAGGACGGAAGCCACTTTGTACTTCCCGCGAGTGTGATTCACGGATCGGGGATAATCTTCGAAGCAGCATGGATGCCAGTAGCTTTGATGCAACCGAAATTAGACTAATCAGTCGGTGACTGGTGCATGAAGCGCAAGCTCCCTTCTTAAAACGGGACAATAACTGACTCCTACCATAAAGAAGTTACCCGTTCTTCATGATTGATTTTGTAGAAAAATGAGGTCAGCTGGCTGATGATAACTGCGCCACCATATCTGAACAGCTCCGGAGGACGTTCGTCCGAGCCGGTATTCTTGAACCGCTACAAATGCCGAAGTGCAAGACAAGCTTTTGCTTCACTGGGTGGGTCAAGTGTAACGAACTAGGGTGGGCAGCTGGGTTCGCATGGCATACAAGTGGACGGTGAGGGCCAACTGAATTGGAATGTAAATGTTCGGCCCATCGATCCAAACGTCTCTGTAGGTTGACAATCGGTGAACTATCCGCTTCGCAAATAGTCTCATTGACACCAGGCCTTTTGTGGCAAGTGGATCGAATGATAGAGAAGAGCTTGCGAGCAGTGTCAGACAGCGAAGCGGCCTCCATTTCCGAACCATGCTGAGACCACCGAGCTTAGCGGTCACTGTGTAGACTTCGTTTGAGCTGTCGACTGACAGAACGGCGCACTTTGTTATGGTTAGACTCCGTTGGAATATTTCTGAAGCGGTCAAATAGATCCACGGAGCAGGTGGAGATCCAGGACTTCATAGGGTGTTGAGTAAGACCACAGATTAAATGTCCTGAAACGATCAAGGTTTTCTGCATGAACGCCAAGCGTTCAATGTTTTGTGGTGAGTGGCGGCTGAGTGCATCGTCCAGAGAATCTTGATAGCTTGATCGAACAGAAAGAGTAGATAGTTTATTTGCATCTACCTTGCACTGCTTCTCTTTCGGCGACCCTCTGAAACGAATGCAGATGTTCGCACTGACAAGTCTGAGTCAACAAATGTGGGGCAGACGGATCTGTAATCCTTTACACTACCCCGCCATTGATAACTAATTGCGAGGTGGTCAATCTGAGACCATGACAGCCAGAAATGGTGGATGCCAAGTATTGGAACGTCCCTTCGAATGCCTGAAACAGATGCTCGAGAGTAACAGACGATTGCCCCCCACACAGTGTGAGAAGTCTCTCTCCATTATTTGAACGACTCTCGTCGACCGCATGTTGACCGTCGAGATGACCTTCATATGATGATAGGCGATCAACCCGTGCGTTCTGATCCCCAACAAGGACAAGAATATCGGATTTATAAGCTCTGCTAAAGTGCTGGTGAAGTCCACGGTAGAAATCGTCCTTGATCGAGTCGCAACTGCAGTCAGTTAGAGCGTAAGCTGAGATCACAAACAAGTTGCGTCTAACTTCACGATGTTTGCTGATTCTGCATGATCCGTAAAGCCGAATAACACAAAAACAGCTGTAATCGGGAACTAGTATGTATGTATTGTTTTTAAAACTTACCCAAACACATGAGTAACAATAACAAAAAAGAGAGTGAGTAAGAGGAATGGAAGCAAAGTACCATGTGTTGTGTGGGCATTGAGCATCCCGGTTGCCCAGACCGAGGAAGAGGGTTGACTTAAGGGACCCCACCCCGAGCCTTTGGTCTAATGACCTGACCCGCAAGGCAGCGGAGTGATTCACGAAGACCGTTGACAGCCAAGTGGCTCATTCGCTTTCTTTGTGTTCGGAAGCAGTCCACCGAAAAGCCGGTGGCCAACGAGGTTGTTTATCCGCCCGGCGTTAGATACTCACCCTTAGTTACGGAAACCAGAAAAGCAGTGCGGTCTCGGATTTGCAATTTAGGGTTGCATCAAAGCCAACCAAGCCTGCCGTGACTCTTCTTTGTCACCAGATGGACGTAGGTGAAATATGGCTCCGTGTTCGATGAGAGATCTTAACTTAATCATCAAACTGGGATCGTGCAATCGGGTGTTGAAGAGAAAGGTAACATCCATGGCGAGGAATTCCAAAGTGAGCGCGAGACCAGCCTGTTGCCCGACCTGCGTAAGTGTACGTACATTGAAGCATGTCAGAAGGAACGAGGACCGAGGCCGAAGGAGTGCGACTGGGCGAGCTCTCTGGATGTCGACGAAATCATCGGGAGTAGAATCATGGAAACAGGAGTCGGCTGGTAACGGATAACAGTGATTGGTAACAAATGTACAGGTGGCGTGTGAAGGGGTGTGACTAGCAGGGGCAGAAACAACCGAGACCGATATTGCAGATGAACAGTTCATGGTTTTGTTAATGGGCGTGGTACTACCCGGTTGCCCAAGCCGAAGTAGGGTGTTGTCTTAGGGACACCACCCCGAGCCTTTGGCTAAATAGCCTACCCGAAAGACAGCGGAGTGAATTCAGCGAGTCGCAGGTAGAGACGAAAACATGATTTAACAGTGTCATTTGTTTCGGTCCGCGTAAGAACGAGACTCGAGCCGCCAGCGTGGCCGGTACAATGGGTTTCATCTAAACTTTTGGGGCTATTTTCGTATGCAATTTCACCGGATCATCGGGTGATCACTCCGAGTTCGCAAGCACGCAGTTGTAATCAGATGCAACCAGATAGACAAGCACCCGAGTGACGTTGCCTGGAGGAAATGTGACATTCAAGTTCGGCGGATGATTTATACCTTTTTTCAGGCAACTGAATCCATTGCGCTCTCAAATTCCTTCTTAAGGAAATCTTGTTCCCTCATAGATTTCTCAAGATGGTCCTTAACGCTTTCAAGATGCATCAAGTTGCATTGTTCATTGAATAACCAACCTTAAATAAGCATACAGTATATCAGTGGGATGTTACTGACTGATTTGGGTTTGGTCACTCAATGGACCGCTGCATTTAGGTGCATTCGTGCCTGTTGGATGCAAAGTAGAAGCGTTAAGAGCCATCTTTAGAAACCTACGGATGAACATGATTTCCTGAAAGAGAAATTTGAAAGCGCAAAGGATTCAATTGGCTGGGAAAATGTGTACGAAGTTGCAAGTGGGATGTTGATCAGACACCAACCGGTACACGGTGATCCATCTAGATACCACTAGTGCTGTGTAGAGACAGGTAGTGGAGAAAAGTTAGTTTCATGCTTGTGTTCATTAGGGCACAGGCCAGCCTATAATGCGCATAATAACACAGATGCAGCTATAGAGTAGCAGAGTGCATGATTATGGTACCTATTATCTAAACTGACTCCGACGAACGTCATACTTAAGTTCGCGTGCCACCAGCTACGATCACAATACGAGCACACCATGACAAAAGAGTGAGATCGAGTTGTCGTAATTTATCCTTCCAGATCTCCGATTTGTACAGTTGGTGAAGGTGCAAAAAGGGGAGGCAAAAGACCAGCTGATTACTGAAGCTGATAAAAGCGGTCCGATGACAATCTCTAGACCCCATTCTGAGAAAAAGTCACTATCCGAAAACACACACTATGTATTAAATTTAAAAATTAACTTAACAAGGCGGTAGGACAGAGGTGTGCGTGTGTGTGTGACAAATGCTACCCGGAGCGGAGAGTTTCGAATGATGCTCGCTTACAACATTGAATTCCATGACCGATTCCATTCTCGTTTGGATTCATCAGGTAGAGATAAACGGAGCAAAAAGTAGAGTTATCGACTAAATGGTTCACGGAGGAAGCCTTGATCAAAAGCCCACCGGAGGTTATCGAATCTTTAACTCCCAAACGTTGGGGATGGTGGACCTATCTCGAGAGTAGGATGGTTGAGTTCGGTTCATGTGTGCACAGAGTCGACTATACACGTATCCTTGAAAAATCTAGTTACTCACAGAGGTTTCGTTGGGGAATGAGCTTACTGGACAGTGGTAGCGGATTTTGTGCGAGTGGTGGCAAACTAGTGGACAACGTCAGAGACGATTCAGCACTTCTGCTCCATCTCAATCCAGGTGAATTTGCAGCTCTCAAACTGCTGTAGCTGATAGTTGATTTTCATGGAGGTATAATTACCGACTTCAACCAAATTTCAGGGAATTTGTTGTTCGTGTGACCTTTAATTAATGACTGCCCAGTCCCTAGTAGTATAACTAAGTGACTGCCATTCATTGGGAGAACGTGAAGCACTGTGTCCGAAGCCTCATCCACCAAAACGGAAATCATCCTGATTAAGTCTCGGTTGACTACTTCCCGTCATTGACTGGTCACCCTGCCTACTTTATCAGTCAGAATGATGGAACCCCCTATGTGAAACGAATCAACTCCAAATACCACACTCTGTGACTAGTTTCGTTCTCGCGTGCACTTCAGGTGGAGATAGCCGTGTTGGATACGGTAAGTGGATCAAAATCCCAACAATAAGTTTCTGACTGTTGTGATAAGTGATGTCAGCAAAACCGGGTGGTGTAGTGACGGACACACTAGCCGACAGTCTGCACGTCTCCAATACAAGTTGCAGTTCGGCTACTCTCCGCCGGAGGACAAACTCGGTCAGGGAGTGCCTCATTGGCAGCGAGCATTATAGATAATAGCAATTTGATTGTAGCAGATTTTAACAGATTCAGCTTCCTTAATCACCTAAGTATCAGTTCGAGTGGAGTTGAAACAAAAGTTGAATAGATCGACGAACAGCGAAGTTGTAGAAAAGAGGGGAACAAAGGTGGACACAGTGAGCGAAAGAAGAAATGTTACGAATCAACCGGTTTGAGTATCACAGAAGTCAAGGGCGGTTACCGATATAAATTACCACAAAACATCGGCGAAAAACGGAGAGGGACAAATGCAACTCACTCGGACATCCGGCGTATCCAGCGGATATTTGGATGGTTCTGGTAAATGCATTTCGTTTGGAGCTTCATTTCGAATAAGAACAGATGACAGATTGTGATCCTTATTCAGGTTAGCTGAGTTTGCTGATACACCACTGAGTACATGCATACGTTCGAAGAAACCGGACGGTTCCCCGGGACGCTTGGGTTTTGGCCCATAGGCGGTGGATCCGGAAGCACTTCCACCACTGTCACTCTCTTCGTCATCTGGCTGCACATTTTCTTCGCTGCCAGTACGAGCCAAACGTTCACCGGAAACAGCACGCTCATGAGCCCAAAGGAGGACTGCAAATGCTAACTGACTGTCCACCTGTGGAAGATTCTCACCCTCACTGGCAGAAATACAAGATCCACTACACTCCACAGTTAGGTTCACAATCAGGCGCGCACCAAGCTGTCCAGAGAGTGAACAAGCTATGGTATCCGCGTTTTCCTTGATGTAAGCGAAAACTGACTGAGCTAGACGACGCTCAGCCGGTAATAATCGATCACTCGTCTTGTCGAACGTCTCATCAATCAAAGGAGTGAGCTGGACCACGTGGCAAATCTCTGCATTTGGGAAAAACAAAAAGGAGGAGGGGACAGGGAGAAAAAGAAGAGGGACTGAGGTAAAGTCGAAGTAGACAGCAATGCAATTCAAAGTTACCAACTGAGGTGAGCCAACATGATTAGTTGGATGCTAGGAGCCTCTACTGATGTAGTATAGACATGCAAGAAAAAAAACAGTTAACCGCATGTGAAGAAAGTTTCGATGAGCTCAGTCGTTTAAATGAGCAGGGAAATGCTTCATAATCAACTTTAAAGTTGTTGCTAAGCAGGCAGACTAAACATACCAATGAGGCACACGTAGATCGAATAAAGTGACTCGAAAAACATCATTGGTCAAATGGTTAGAAAACAGAAGCAACACGTTTTCCCCCATTCCTAATGACAAAACATGACTTTTCGAGAACGATCACCTCTCATCCTTGAGCTAACAGTTTGACTAATAACGTTGTGCTGGAAAATGAAAATTTGCGAGATGAATTCTACCTGGAGTGCCTGATTCTGACAACATGTTCCTTTTACGACCGAGCCAAGTGTGTAAAAACTTACTGCTCCGAAGATGAACAACGGCCATGCACACAATAAGACCCGTTAATCGAACAGTTGTGCAACTGAACCATCATCGTGTCGCGAAACTATCACTGGATCAAGCAAGTGAAGTAAAGCTCAGGCCGCCAAACGATTATGAACGATCGCCCTAAACACGATCTGCAAAATGCAAAGCTACCGAGAACTATCGAGAAATTGTAATTCGTCTCAAAGTCGTCAAGGAGCACTAACGTTAGCCGTGGTTGAAAAGTGCCCATGGAGGAGCATTGGGATGGAACAACCCAAATACAAAATAGAGGGGTACGAAGTTGATAAAAGGGGTCAAAGTGGAGATTTGCCAAAAAGTAGCTCAAATATTGAGACGGTATTAAGTCCGTGCAATCCGAGTAGATACCAAAGGGAAGCTTGGGTAAATCTGCTTGGTGGAAAGATAAAAACCCAGAATGTGGAATCGGTAGAGGATCACATGGAAAACGTACCAGTTGCAAAAAGCTGAACGCTCGTTACGGTAGTTGCAGACAAGTTGCAAGCGACGCGCCGCGGTTTGGGGGTATAAAAATAGGTGGGTGCATATTAATCAATAGGTACAGGAGCGCAATAGCCTTCATTGGAGTGTGGTCAAGCAAATACAGACCATGAGATTACTTAGGACCTACGGGAGCGGTCACATGACAAAGCTCTGAAGAGATATGCCGCAAGAATGTCCATGTAAAGTATCAATTCCTGTCGGTACTTGCGGCTGTGGCTAAAATGGATTGTGATATCAGAATGATATATCTCTGAAATATACGGAAAATGTACGAGATCATCCCGGGTTATGGTAAGCAAATAGGAGGCTGCAAACATGTCCTGGCGGCCATAGTCAGTACCCCGCAACAATGAGATGGTGGGATTGGATCGCATGGAAACTTAGGTAAATATATGTGAGTCATAATAAGTGGAACAGAACGTCAGATACTGCCTTATAATGCTTCCTCAGGAGTAAAAAGTATCATTGTAGGTCCGTCCAAAAGGTGTGAAATTAGCTCAGTAATGTGTCGCTGACATTGCAGATGCAAGGCGAAGACTGAAGATTATTCTGTGACAGGGAAAGAAACCACCAGTGGAGGTAAAGTTGAGACAATAGTGACGAGAAGTCGGTAGCAATGCAAAACAAAACGGATTGTGTCAGGTCAAACGGCATGCGCCTCAAAGTAATTTAAAAAGAATAGGTTAAAGGGAATTGAGAGCAGGCCCTTGTAGGTAAACCACTGTAATTTGCGCAGCCAACTCAGTCTAATTTATCGCAATAGCTGGTGGAGAGTAACAGATGAGAACTTTAAGTGTAAATGGCTCGTAAAAGCATTGGTTGTATACATACGTGAGTAGTACATTAAGCTTCGGTGTACTGGCGTTTAACACCTAAACCAAATATGAATGTGGTCCCAGAGATCGGAACGAGCAAAGTTTGCATTAGAGTAAACTGTGGTCCCAATTGAGATTACATGTTGCACTCCAAACACATGTCGGGTGCTACCGATTAGAACAACAGTGCAAAAACTCACAAAATCAGTACGCTAGCTTACAGGACTAGGAGGGCCATGTATATAGTTGCAGTGGTCATTTCGTGGTCAAGGAGCTGCAGATGCGTTGCAAGCTTTAAAGACGCAGAGATGCGGTGAGCTCCACAAGTAAAATTGTCAACTTTCACACGGGGCCTAACCGCATACCTGCGTGGTGTTCCACAAATGAAAGGATTATTTTGTCAGATGTATTAGGAGTCATTATGTAGTAGTAGTCTTTGTAAAGTTCACTGCGCTGTGGTAATCAGTCGGTTCCCAGGAAGTCACAGGCTGTAGACAAGAACCGCAAACACAGGCAACAAAGAGTTGAACTAGTCAACACTGTTTACCAGCTTTCAGCACAGGCAAAGTATCTCATTGTGCGTAAGAATGCAGTATCATGTTTCAATTCAAGAAAGTTTACCCGCTAGCAAAACGGACGCGGAATGTACACTCTGTTAGTTGCTCTGTCAAATATGATAAGGATAAATAACTAAAGAAGTGTGGCGAACACACGCGCACAGGTGTAACGGCGTGCAAAAAAAGTGAAACCGGGTGCGATGAGTTTGCCAAAATCAACAGTAGCCAAAGCAAAGGACAAATTCAAATAAAGTGGGGAAAGTGATTGTTCTAGTGACTGATTCATGTGAAGTGTTATGGTGAAAATGATCACTGAAAAGGTGAGACCCGGTAATGAACTAACTTGTCCAGAAAGTCATTCAAGCGTGTTAAACAGTTGTCTCAGTATGAGAAATCAAATGTGTTTGTATTCCGGAAGTATGCAAACCAAAAAGCAAACTGATCCGTACTGTGATATCATGAGAGCCAAAGGAGCTCACACGTCCATGAAACCGGTGGGGAAGGGGATGTTAGTTTACTGCACACGATGTGCAGGTACAATCGGAATATTATTGTACCTGCACATTGAACCAAAGGCTTTGGTTGAGAACCCTAATCGTTTTCCTGTCTAGGCCTGGGCAACCTGACAGTATTCTGCCCACGCATTACCATGGATCTTACTTCTAACAATTTCTTGATGCTCTGGCCGTCGCAGAGGATAATAAACTGCGCCCAATCTGTTGCATCGAGCAGGGTGGATAGGGGTATGGATACTACTACTCAGGCCTTCCCGTCTTCTTATACCCCTTCTTGCGCTTCTTCATCCTTATCGTCCCGCTCTAACTTTACTTTTATCCCCTCATTTTCAATCCCCAATTCTTGGCCCTCCCCCAGCTTGCTTCAATAGTCGCTTGTCTTCTAATTTCAAATCACACACAGTAGCAGGGCATCGCTCCAATCCAGTCGACAAGTCCATGTTCAACCAAGCGGACAACGTCGGTTCTTCCGTTTCCCTTTGGAGTCCTCGCGTCTCGCTAAGACTGGCGTGCCTCAACTTGCGCACTTTGCTATTGATTGATCAATAGGCAGCACTCGTCCGCACACTAGAGACCCTATCAATCGATATTTGCTGTTTATCAGAAACCCGTTTGCAAGATTCCAGCTTCGTGGTTACCCTGCGATCCCCCACATATGACACTGGCGGCACATTCTCATTGTGCTTGTCTGGTGATGATGCAGCTTCAAATGCCGGTCAAGTTGGCGTCGGCATTGTTTTGAGTCCCCGGAATGATGCTGCCTTGATCGATTAGATCCAAGTCAACAGTCGGATGTGCGCAGTTAGATTAGCTGATTCGTTACATGCTATGAAGTCGCGCAGGAACAAACGGTGCCTGTTTTTCATTGCGGCCTACGCCCCTACAAACTGTAGCACTGATTCGGTGAAAGATGATTTCTATCAGCAACTTCACGATCTCCTTCGTTACAGACGAAGCACGGATACTGTGGTGTTGGCTGGCGATATAAACGCCCAAATCGGAAAACTGTCTTCTGATGAGCTTCATCTGGGCGACCAACATGGTGTAGGCTCCCGTAATGAAAACGGTGAGCGATTGCTACAGCTGTGTGAAGATGCTCGTCTCTTTCTCGCGAGCACGAACTTTCGACATAGCACTCGCAGAAGTATGAATTGGCGCCCACCAGCCTCGGGCCAGCCATGGACGCAAATCGAGCACATCGCGATCAGTTACCGCTGGAGAGGCTGTGTCCAAAACTGTCGCTCGTTTTGAAGCACGAGCGTGGACTCTGACCACGCACTTGTCTGTGTCGACCTCCTGGTGCGTTTCGGTGGACTTCCGCAACGTCGATGTGAACGGATTGACATCAGCCAGCTGGCGAAGCCAGATGTTCTGAATGTGTATCAAAGTGCGCTGACATCTGGGCTGAGTAAGCGCCCACTAAACACCGTTGAAGATCACTGATCACATATTCGTCAAGCGATGCTGTTAGCAGGCATGCCTTCATGTGGCAAAGCAAATTGCCAAACCGGACATTGGGTCTCTACACAGTCTCTGGAACTTATGGATGCTCGCCGACGTATTCAGGCTGGAAGCGAATACAATAAAACCACAATAAAACCCTTCTAAAACCGATTTGTATTCAAAGCCTCCTGAAATCACGAATACAATGAGGCTCGCAAAAATCTCAGGGCAAAACTACGTGCTAGCCTTAAGAAGGACCGCGAAACCTGATGGTCTCATCGTGCCTCTGAGATGGAAACAACCGCTGTCGTTGGTAATCATCGTGTTATTCCGTCTGATACGGGAAACAGGCAGCAGGAGTCCTGGTGTTAGCGAGACCATACGCGACGAGAGTGGGCAGCCGATCCACAGCTTGTCAAAACGCTTGGAGCGTTGGCAATTTAACCAACCTGAGTTATGGCTTTCTTCTTCGGGCCTTGAGCGCCCTTCTCCTTGGGCCGTCTACTCGGATCCGCCCTCACGCGCAGAAGTCGAACGTGAGATCAAGCTGTTGAAATTGCATAAGGCCGTAGGGGCAGATAGAATTCCCCCAGCC